GCAGTCCACTCTGGTGTCACAACCAAACTCCAGCTCCCAGAATTCCATACTATTGAGCCATGGCAGTTGAAGCGGTGTCAAGCTGGATTATTTCTGCTGAGTGCATGCAGCCTGTTGCCTATGCTGCATATTTTTTGTTTGAGTGGGTAATTCAAACAATTAATTAATGCTTTCCAGTGAGGAGGACCTCTGGCCACCCTAATTATTTGCATTGGAGCCAGTGTGGCCTAGTGGTTTGAGTGTTTTGACTCTGGAGAGCAGGGTTTGAATGCCTGCACAGCCATGTAAAGACACTGGGTGACCTTGGGCAAAGTCACACTCTCTCAGCTTCAAAAGGAGATAGGTTTGACAATTTTTACACATATTAGAACCAGTGTGGTGTAGTGGTTTGAGTGTTTAATTCTGGAGACCAAGATTCAAATCCCCTCTCAGCCGTGTAAACCCACTGGGTGACCTTGGGCAAAGTCACACTCTCTCAGCCTCAAGAGATCAATTTGGCAATTTTTACACAAACTGGAACCAGTGTGGCTTAGTGGTTTGAGTGTTTAGCTCTAGAGATCAGGGCTTGAATCCCCTCTCAGTCGTGTAAACCCACTGGGTGACCTTGGGCAAAGTCACACACTCTCAGCCTCAGAGAATGGTCATGGGCAAACCCCCTCTGAACAAAATCTTACCAAGAAACCCCCCTGATATCTTGGCCTTAGGGTCACCATATGTTGTAAATGACTTGAAGGCACACAACAATAAGGAGTTTGCAGCACTACACTCACTACTAAGCTTATTGCACCAGTACCTGTAATGTTCCCACCGAGTCCCTGGAACGTAACGACTGTCATGGCCAGCCACGAGGAGGAATCCGAGGATGAGGAGGGTCTGGCCCCTCAGGTACAGGGGGTTCTTGAGCCTGGGCCAGGGCCCAATTCTGCCCTGCCAGGTCCCAGCTCTGCTCTCCCAACCCCTACAGAGTTGACACAGCCTGGCCCTAGCTGTGTGGTCTCCTTCAGGGGACTCTGGGACTCAGCAGCTCAGCCTTGCCCCAGCAGAAGTCCCAGGCTTGGAAGACGTAGAGCAGCAGGACATGGGAATCCCTACCTTCAGCCAGAGAAG